GTTGTTATATAAATTGGGTTGTAAAAGTTGGGATGTTCTTGATTTGCTTTGTTGTAGCTTTTGAGGAAGTAATAGGTGCGGAGGGAGGAAGAGAAACAGAGGAGGGATTGAGATGGCCGCTGCTGTTGCAACTGATGTAGTGACTAGAAATGGCCATAGCTGCTGCAGTGAAAAGGGTCCAGGTTATGCTAGCCCGCTTGAGGCCATGTCTGGTCCCAGAGAGTGTCTTATTTATGTTACCTGTGTCTATACAGGTACTTGATCTCCTTTTCCCCTGACTTTGCTGTTTAATCAGTACTTTGACGACAGCAGTTTTTTTTTTTTTTTTTTGAAAAATTGGATTCAAGATTTTGTTGAGAACAATAATTATGTCTTCTTTCGTTTTTTGGTTTTTAATATTGAGTGATTATTGATTTTGCTCCAATATGTTTGCCTGTTGGATAGAAAAGTTTGGTTGCGGTTAGTTTTGTTTATTGATGAGATTTTGGGGTCAATGGAATCATGCTGATTGAATCTTGAATCTGGACTTTTTACCTTTTATTGTGGGGCAAACGGGAAAATTAATTTTTGAGTACCAAGAAGAAATTGAGCTACTGTAGAATGTTTGTGAATCTGTTGTTTGAATTGTTTTCTGGCCTCTAATTAAGCAATTTCTTACATGCCTTAATTCAGCATATATTGTGATAGCACAACGGCTTTCAGCAGTTTTATTGGACCATGTTTAAGGTTTTCCCCAGGAGTAGGGTAAGGTTTTGATGTGTCCAGTGTTTATTCAAACTAGCCGAAGCTGCGGAGAATGACCTTACAGAACAACCCTGTTAGAGCGGATATTTGCAGTTCTCTGATGAAAATTGTCCATATTCTGTTTGTTGGAGAACGGAATTGTCAATCTCCTGGGAAGAAGAATTTGTTTTCTGTATACATGATTCTACCCTATTAGTTGATCCATGTCGGCTATTTTGTGTCAGGCATTGTTAGTTAATACTTCATGTGGGATGTTTATAGGTTTTATTTATTCTGACTTGTATGTGTGAGTTAAAGGGGTCTAATGGATCATATCAAAGCTTGCCAAGAAATCTTTCTGGAGCTTAGAGATTTCCATTGAATAACAGGAACAGGAAAGGAGAAGCCTGACTACTTGGCCACAGTCGATGTAGATCCAAGTTCACCAACTTACTCGAAAGTTATCCACAGGCTGCCTATGCCCTATGTGGGTGATGAACTACATCATTCAGGATGGAATGCCTGCAGCTCCTGCCATGGAGATCCATCAGCTACTCGGAGATTTCTTGTCTTGCCTTCGTTAATGTAAGGGATAACATCTTTAAAAACGCTTTTCAAATGATCACTATCATAGTCCATTGATATACATAATCAAAGCTGAAAAAATACACTTGTCGTGGCTGTTGTCTAGAAATCACAGTTGGAACTTTGAAGGTGTTGAGAAAAACTGCTTTATCTTTTTCATGAGACTTCTCCTAAAGTGACATTGATGTTTTCAGCATGAAAACCATTTATATGAATGTTCTAAACTGGTAAATTCATAGTGATAAGAAACTTTAATAGGTCATAATTTTTTTTGGATAGCTATCAAGCAGAGTATCTGCTGAAGTTCATACGTTTGGTCCATATGATATGGTTGATAGAGTCAAAAGATGTTATGCATAATCACTACATCTGGAAATATTGGTGACCTGAAGCTGACAGAGTTAAAATTGATATTCAATGTCTGAAAATAGTATCGAAGTGAAGCTGAAACTCTATAAACTTTCTTTTTGCTGCATACAGCCATTTTCTTCTACATTTACTGCAAAATGCTCATTTTTTCAATTTTACTTGCTATGAGTGATATCACCAAAAAAATTTTGTCAAGTTTTAACTCAATAGAAACTAGGTAATATCCCTATGCTTAGTTTGGGTACTCTTTCAGATCTGGACGCATATACGCTGTTGATACAAAGGAGGACCCGAAGGCTCCAGCTCTGCATAAGGTAGTTGAGCGTGAAGATATCATACAGAAGACTGGTTTAGCTTTTCCGCACACTGCCCATTGTCTTGCTTCTGGTGATATCATGGTGTCATGTCTTGGAGATAAAGATGGAAATGCCAAAGGAAACGGCTTTCTTTTGCTTGACTCAGAATTCAATGTGAAAGGAAGGTATTGTCATTCGTACTCTATGAGCATACTAGTTGTCTATTTAGTTAACGTGTTCACCCTAATCTTAAATTATAATTGCAATGCTAAAAAAAAAAAGCACAAATCCAGTCCAGTATTTTGCTTAGTTGTCTTCCTCTCTCCATGTGATTCTACTTTACCTGTAAGTTGGAGTTTCAAACTTTGACAACATGTTCTGCAACAAAAAAGTTAAGTTATTGGGAGTATGACAGAACATAATGAGACCACTCTTTCTGCCTGTCCTTGTAATAGGTGGGACAAACCTGGACATAGCCCGCTTTATGGTTATGATTTCTGGTACCAGCCAAGGCACAAAACCATGATCAGCACTTCGTGGGGAGCCCCAGCCGCTTTTACCAAAGGTTTCAACCTCCAGCATGTTGCAGATGGCCTTTATGGACGGCATTTGCATGTCTATAGCTGGCCTGATTGTGAATTAAAACAGACATTGGATCTTGGCAACACAGGACTCATACCATTGGAGGTGAGATGACATCTTCCATCAGATATTTTGTTGTCAATGATTTGACTAGCAAAAGGCACATCATATTTAGGAATGTATCCTTGCATTATTCTTTTAATCAGTAAATAGATTTGTATAATTTATTGGTCATTGATTCTGGTAAAACTTTACTTTTTTCAGATTAGGTTCCTGCATGATCCATCCAAAGATACCGGCTTTGTTGGTTGTGCCTTGACCAGTAACATGGTACGATTTTTCAAAAACCCAGATGACACATGGAGCCATGAGGTATGCCCAAATATCTATTGCTTTGGCCAGTCAAGGAAGATGGTAAATAAATTCACAATTGACTTATTGCTAAATGATCTTACAGGTATCAATATCAGTAAAACCAGTGAAGGTGCAGAATTGGATCCTTCCTGAAATGCCCGGTCTCATAACAGATTTTCTTATATCTCTTGATGATCGTTTCCTCTACTTGGCCAACTGGCTTCACGGTGATGTTCGCCAGTATAACATTGAGGACCCTAAAAACCCTAAGCTTACTGGGCAAATATGGGTTGGAGGTTTGTTTCGAAAGGGTAGACCTGTAGTTGCTGAAGCTGAAGATGGGACAACATATCAAGTTGATGTCCCAGAAATCCAGGTAAATTTTGATCTGTAGCTTTAATTAGAATTTCTGGTGATGTGAGTTTGCCATTCAAGTTTCACACACTTCAGCCCAAATAAAAGTGTCCATGTTACATCAGATCTTTATTTTTTTTTAAATGTTGTTTTACTTTTTGTTTCGTTTTTAGATGAAAAGATTGACTAAAATTCTTGATTTTGTTTGTTAAAAAGGGGAACCAACTGAGAGGAGGGCCACAGATGATTCAGTTGAGTTTAGATGGAAAGCGGCTTTATGCAACCAACTCACTCTTCAGTGCTTGGGATCGCCAGTTTTACCCTGATCTTGTGGAGAAGGGAGGGCATATCATACAGATTGATGTTGACACAGAGAAAGGTGGTCTTACCATCAATCCCAACTTTTTTGTTGACTTTGGCGCTGAACCAGATGGTCCCTCCTTAGCACATGAGATGAGGTATCCTGGGGGTGACTGCACTTCCGATATATGGATATGAGCATCATAAAACATTTCTTGTAAACTAAAAAGAATATTGCAGGCATGGGATGCAACATTTCTTGTAAACTAAAAAGAATATTGCAGGCATGGGATGCAACATTATATGGATTTGATTATGTGCCTCAAATAAACTGCACAAACTGCACATGAGATGTGCCTTATATGGATTTCACAAAGTTAGGTTTTGCTGTTTCTTGCCTGATTGTACAAACTGCACAAACTAGTGAGTGTTTGGATAGCAAATTTTTTCAAATAATATTTCGCTTGCTTCATATACATATTTTTCAATCTATTTTTTTTATATTCCCAACAATCTTTTTATTTCAAATAATAAAAAGTGTTACAATAAATATTTCAAATAATATTCTATCCAATAGTTTCACAAACCATACCTGATTGCTTTGTAAGAGGAGTTTTAGGCGTATTTTCTTGACATGATCAACAAAGCCGTGGAGTGATCTTGTGCAGACCCCAATGTTGGAATACGGTGACCCATGAACATGTAGCAGGTAATAACCTCTGTTTTGAAACTCGGACCGGATCGGTCGGGCCGGTCGAACCGGGAACCGGTCAGGTAGCCGGTTCGAGTCATACTAAAAAACCGGGAATTTAAAACCCGGTCAAAGTCGGTCAAAAATTGGGTTTGATCGGAAAAAAATCGGTTTTTCGGTTCAACAGTGTTTTTTTTAAAAAAAAAATTCAAACTTTTTAATATTATGTTTTGACCCCCTAAATTATTAAAACTTATTGATATACTTCAAATATTTGATACTTTATAAATATTGTCCTAAAATTTGATGTTATTTTTCAATTTAATTCATAATTTTAATTCTAAACTTATTAATATTTATTAAATAATATAAATTGCTACTTGATTGTTCTAATTTCTTTGTATTTTCTTATTAAATATATTTGAAACATCAAATATATATAAATTTACCTTTATTAATATCAACATATTATTAAATATTATATATATAATATTTTAATTTTTAAATAATTTTTATTTATGACGTCATCCGGTTCGACCCCTATCGACCCCCGGTCGAACCCATTGACCCCTGACCCGACCTGACCCCTGGCCTTAGCCGAGTCGCTATCCGGTCCGGTTCTGAAAACATAGGTAATAACCACCGTTTTTCCATACAGAGAAATCTGCATATTTAGCATCACTAATTGTGATGTACATAAAGGAAGCTGAGTAGTACGTTTTGCAATTTTTGCAGAGCTCCTTTCGTATGAGATGCGTTTTTCATTCTTGGATGTATGTTTACACTTTGTTGTTTCCCATCAAATAACTGTACAAGGACCTAGCACTCAATCAGATAGCCAAATGCAGCCATCAACACTGACGTCCTAGAGAAATTACACATCACCTTTATGCCTATTGCATCTCAGAATTCTGGATTTTAAATAACCAGTTTCTTGAATCTTGCAAATGTATGTGCTGGAAAAAGGAACATATATCTCTTTCTTGGCTCATAACTATTTTCCTCCATGAACGGCACCCACTACAACTCAATTACCCCGTTCTCTGTTATCATCTACTGCTGTATTGCTTGATGTTCATGTTAAGCAAGCAATGGGTCTCTTTTTGCAAATTTAGGCAGCTCCTTTAGCAGGGGATACATGTTTAGATTCTCTAGACTCCCATCAAATCCGTGTACAAGGCCCAAGCACTTAATCAGACAGCCTAAAACAGCCATCAACCCTGACATCCTGGAGAATTTCATATCATGAAGCCTTGATCAAAGTGTTGCATTGCATCTCAGGATTCTGGATTATAAAGTTGGACAGTTTTTTGAATCTTGCGAGAGTATGGAGAAGAATCAAAATACACTTCTTTCTTGGCTGTGACCATCTTCCTCCTATAATCTGAGCTATTATAACCCTACCACCTTCTCCTCCGTGATCAGTGATCACCAAAAGTCGCAACATGAACACTTCCCGTCTTTGAAACGATGGAACCGGGTGGAGTCCCTAACAACAATTTCCCTATTTGTTATGGAGCAAATCAACTTGAGCACATTATGACAATCTCCACAAACTCTCAGATTTTTTACTATGCGTATTACAGCCCCTGGAACAGAATTTAGCAGCCCATAAGCCACAGCCAATCTCTCACTATGCCAAAAGAGCTGTCTTTCTTTCTCTTGCTGCCCCATATCGTGCAAAACCGAACTAGTATCAGGCACATAACCTCTTCTCCGCATTTCCGCATCCATCTCTTTAAGCAGAGTAGAAATCTCATCTCTCATTGGATGCAATGACTCCCCAGCATAGAAAACAAGGCTTTCCTTTCCCAGGTCAATCCGACTGTAACCAGGCTCCTTTTTTGTGTCCATATGTGTCATTAACTTTCTCACCTTTGACACATTTTCCCAAATACCAGCTCCAGCATAAGCGTTAGACAGCAGTATACAAGTTGAAGGATCTTCTGGTCCTAAGCTCAGTAGACGATCAGCCACCCTAACACCCATTTTGATATTTCCATGCCGCTTACAAGCACATAATAAGGCTGCCCAGGCAGCCTCATCAGGCTGGAAAGGCATTGTTGTAAGGAGATCCTCTGCCTCATCAAGATGTCCTGATCGACTATATAGATCCAATAAGCACGTATAGTGATGCAGAGAAGGAAGCAATCCATAATCCTTGACCATTGAGTTGAAAAGTCCACGACCTCTTTCTACCAATCCCACATGACTACAGGCATATATTAGTCCTACAAAAGTCACCTCATTTGGCTTCAGTCCAGCCATAATCATCTCATCATAAAGGGCCAAAGCTTCACCGGCTCGCCCATGCTGTGCCATACCAACTATAATTGAGGTCCAAGAAACCACATCCCTCTCCCACATGCTGTCAAAAATCTTCTTTGCAATGGACACATCACTGCATTTAGCATACATATCCACAAGCGCATTACTAACAAACATGCTACATTCATAACCAAGGGTCAAAACCAAGCAATGCACTTGCTTTCCAAGCTCCAATGCTGCAAAGCTAGCAGCAGCTCCAGTGATGCTTGACAGAACAAAGGGGTCCGTGATTTCAACCCCTTCTCTTCTCATTTCCACAAAAAGTTCAAATGCATCAACATAATGTCCCTTCTGCACCAATCCAGATATTAATGCCGTCCAAGCATACACATTCTTATCTTCCAAACTTCGCAACATTTGAACAGCTTCAAATTTCCTACCACTCCTAGAATATCCTGATATTACAGCAGTCCAAGAAAACAAATTTTTCGAACAAATTGAATCGAAAACAATACGAGCATTATCAGGTCTGCAACTTCACCGCTACACGGATCAAATGCCAAGATTTATGCCGTTCCAACTTTATAAATTGAAGCATGTACCTTCAACTCAAAGTAATAGTAATACAAGCTTTGCAATCTCGCCATGGCCATCAAGCAGCAACACTTTCTCATCACGGCTCTACCATCCCAAAGCCACATCAACCCTGATCTTCAGCTAGCTAAAAACCTTGCCCGAACAGGTGCACAAGTCACTTTTGCAACCACAGAATATGGCTTCAGCCGCATTAAAAAGCTTCCAGCCAGTCACGATGAGGATTCCAGAAAAAAAAGGCGATTTTGTGGGCTTTTTATCTGATCTACAGCTTTTCGGTTCTCGAGACCTCACCAACTTCATCCAACGAGGGTCGACCAGTTACCTTCTTGATCTACACAGTTATGTTGCCCTGGGTGGCAGAAGTGGGGCATGAGATGCATATTCCTTCGGCTTTCGTAGCTATCCAGTGTGCCACCTCATTTGCCATCTATCACAGCTACTTCATTTGCCAAGATGGTATGTATGATAGAGTTCGTCAAGGTGATCAGAACCTTTCATTGCCCATAAAATTGGCTGATCTTTCCTTGTTTGAAAAGGGGGATTTGCCCACCTTTCTCTTACCTAATGATCAGTTCTTTTCTTTTACAGGTGCTTTTTTCCATGAACATATAAAGATCTTAGAGCAAGACTGTAAACCTTGTGTACTAGTCAATACTTTTAACGAGTTAGAAGAAGCGTCAATCAAAGTTGTTGACAGTACGAATGTGATCCCAATTGGACCTTTGATTCCTTCCGCCTTTTCTGATGGCAATGATCCACTGATAAATCTTTTGGTGGGAACTTATTTGACATCCCGGAAAAGGACTGTGTCCAATGGTTGGACTCAAAGCCAGAAAAGTCTGTGGTTTATGTATCAATTGGAAGCTTTGTGGCGTTAAAGAAAGAGGAAAGATAGAAATTTTGCACGGATTAAAAGAAGCCGGAAGACCATATTTGACGGTAATCAGATTTTCGGATGATGAAGAGGAACAAGTAAAGGCAGTGATAGAAAACATATCAAATGAAGAAGGAATAATAGTGCCTTGGGGTTCACAGATGGTGGTACTTTGTCACAGCTCAATAGGGTGCTTTATCACGCACTGTGGGTGGAATTGGAGAGCATTGTTGCAGGGGTGCCAATTGTGGGATGCCCACATTTATCTGATCAGACAACAAATGCAAAGCTGATTGAGGAGGTTTGGGGTATTGGGGTGAGAGCAAAAGCTAATGAAGAAGGGGTGGTGGAGAGAGGAGAGATCAGGAGGTGCTTGGACATTGTGATGGGAGGTGATGAAAAAGGGGAAGAAATGAGAAAAAATGTTGCTAAATGGAGAGGTATGGTAATGGAGGCTGTGAAGGAAAATGGATCTTCATACAACAATTTCAGAAAGTGAGGATGGTGATATTAATTAGTTTCTTGTAGGAGGTCTGCCTCTGAGTCTCAGTTCCTGAAGTGATCATAGTTCAAGTTTTGGACCCTTCATCAAATTGTCAGTTATATGTATTGCTTATCCTTGGATATGTCTTACTGTATTATGTAAACAAATTGTATTAAAATGGCTCCAAGAATCAGTTATATATATATATATATATATATATATATATGTATATATTATATAATATAAAAGTTGTGCATGAACGATGAAGAATTGGAAAGATTTATGTTATTCTGCATCCCATCCCTCCCCTCAAGCAGCTTCTTCACTCAGAAAAGTTGAAAATTTTCAAGGTACAAGATAAACACATAAAATAGAGGTGTGGGTCCACAATAAAATTTAAATGTTAAAAACAAAAAGCCCCTTTGTGGTATATCTAATGCACAAAAAAGTCCCCGTGATTTCAAAACATACAAAACGATAACTCATGTTTTGAACTAAATTGTAAACTAACAGAATTCGTTAAATTTAACGAAAATGACGGTTTTGGACGTTATGCTTACCGGATTCCATTAAATTTATTGTTAAATTTACCGAGTTCCGTTAAGTTTTCCGTTAAGTTTACCAGATTCCGTTAAGTTTAACGAATTCTGTTAGTTTACAATTTAATTCAAAACATGATATGTCATTTTGTATGTTTTGAAACTACGGGAGGCTTTTCTGTGTATTAAGTATACCACATAAAGCTTTTTTGTTATTAACCCAAAATTTAAATATTATCATCCACCTCCTAAATTGTTTAAATTTTTAAGGGCAAATTACACTTTACCCTCCCGTGGTTTAGTGATTTTTTACATAACCTCCCTATGGTTTCAAAACTTATGTATAACCTCCTCATAGTTTGGATTAAAGTGTCAAAGTAACGGAATTTGCATTCTATAACAGAGTCAACTAAAAGTTAAAAATACTCCTATATAAAATTGAAAATTATTTAGTAACCATAGAGGGGTTATGTGTATATTTTAAAAAATATAAGGGGGTTATATGGTAAAGTATTAAATCATAAGGGGATTAACGAAGTGCATTCTTCAGCATATCCTTTCTAATTTTGATCCAATGGCTATATTAAATGGTTAAAAAGAAAAGGACCCTTGGTTCCAACTGCATTTACAACTAAAATGGCTGAAAAGACTGAAAGTATACATTTCTTTAATGTTCAACAGCTACTTTGAAACAAAATTTAGATTAGGGACCAAAAGTTGACAATGGAAGTAATTTAAAGGCCTTCTATACACTTTATCCCTTGTTCTGTCGGCACTAATGACTAAATTTGACTGAAATCCTTAAACGTGACACTTTTTTTTATTGAGGGCTTATTTGCGAGACTACATTATTGAGGGGTCAAAAGAGTGCAAAGAAAATAGTTTAGTGGTCAATCGGATGGTTTCCTAAAAAAAAAAAAAGGTTATAACAAAGACGACATGTTATATGCCCATTTGATTAAAAATTTACATGATAAATTAGTTTCTCGTCTAACCTATGAACGTTACGAGCTCGAACATGACTTTGAACCGTGTTTTTTTTTTTTTTTTCAAAGGGACTTTGAACCACGTTCAAAATAGCAAGCACAGTGGGAAATTCAGAATCAATATTTAGACCTTGTATAGCTTTGAACAACTGCTGGCCTTTGTACTCCCGGAATTTTACGTGCTCTACCAAAGCTGAACTGACCTTCATGATCATGAACAAAGATGAACCCACTTGTCACTATCATGAGCCCAGCAAACAGCCCTACGCCAGCAGCTCCCAAGTCCTTGAATATGGCCCCAGAAGAATCAATTATCAGCTGCCTTTCACATGGAGCGGTCCAACAGGACTCTGCTGTCCTCTGGTTCGTCTCTACTGCCTGCACTGTATTAGCTTGTTTGAAGTTATTAAACTTACTGTTCATTGTCAACATCAGATAAATTGGATTGGCCTTACTAAGAATAGAATTAAAACTTTAAAAACAGGAATACAATTGGAAGCACAAAGTCAAACACCAGTAATATAAGGTTTGCTATCTCCGATGAGTCATTAACTAACACACTCTGAAGTTTAGAAAATTATCCATTAAGCATCCACAAGAACATGGAGCACCAGCACTTTCTCATCACTGCTCTACCATCTCAAGGCCACATCAATCCTACTCTTCAGCTAGCTAAAAACCTTGCACGAACAGGTGCCCAAGTCACCTTTGCCACCACGGTTTATGGATTTAGCCGCATTAGAAACCTTCCAGCCTCTGGTTGTCTCTCCTTTGCATCCTTCTCCGATGGATATGATGATGAAAAGTCTCAGAAAAACCGCGATTTCACGAGCTTTTCATCTGATACAAAGCGTTTCGGTTATAAAGACCTTACCAAGTTGATCCAAACTACATCCAAGGAGGGTCGTCCAGTTACCTTCTTAATCTACACAGTTATGCTGCCTTGGGTGGCAGAAGTGGCGTGCGAGATGCATATTCCATCGGCTTTCTTAGCTATCCAAAGTGCCACCACATTTGCCATCTATCACAGGTACTTCAATAGCCATGATGGTTTTTATGATGGAGTTCGTGAAGTTGAGTGTTCTTCAATTTCCATCAAATTGCCTGATCTTCCCTTGTTCGAAAAGGAGGATTTGCCCACCTTTCTCTTACCTAATGATCAGTTCTTCGCTTTACAGTCCCTTTTTTCATGAACATATAAAGATCTTAGAGCAAGACTCTAAACCTTGTGTACTAGTCAATACTTTTAACGAGTTGGAAGAATCATCAATCAAAGCTGTTGATGGTATGAATCTGATCCCAATTGGACCTTTGATTCCTTCAGCTTTTTCTGATCGCAACGATTTGACTGATAAATCTGTCGGTGGCGACTTATTTGACACCCCTCAAAAGGCTTTCTCCAATGGTTGGACCCAAAGCCTGAAAGGTCTGTGGTTTATGTATCATTTGGAAGCCTTGTGACATTAAAGAAAGCAGAAAAGATAGAGATTTTGCATGGATTAGAGGAAGCAGGAAGGGCTTATCTGCTCGTGTTACAATCAGATAACGAAGAGGAAGAAGTGAAGGCAATGATAGAAAATGTATCAAGTGAAGAGGGGATGATAGTGCCATGGTGTTCACAATTGGAGGTGCTCTGTCACAGGTCAATAGGGTGCTTTATCACTCATTGTGGATGGAATTCAACGTTAGAGAGTATTGTTGCTGGGGTGCCAATTGTGGGATGTCCACATTTATCTGATCAGACAACAAATGCAAAGCTGATTGAGGAAGTTTGGGGTATTGGGGTGCGAGCAAAAGCTAATGAAGAAGGGGTGGTGGAAAGAGCAGAGATCAGGAGGTGCTTGGATACTGTGATGGGAGGTGGTGAAAAAGGGGAAGAAATAAGAAGAAATTCTGCTAAATGGAGATGTATGGCGATTGAGGCTGTGAAGGAAAATGGATCTTCACATAACAATTTCAGAAACTTCTTGCAGAAATTAGAGTAAGGAGACAAGGATATGGTGATTTTGAGTCTGAGTTTATGAAGTGATCATCAATTGAACCTTTTGTCATTTGTCACGACTAACATGCCAATTGAATTTATTGCTCAGCTTTCTGTTGTATTGGTCGCGTCTTACATGATCAAATTGAATTATGTTTCCAAGAATTATTTAAATCACTTACCAAGACCGATGAAAAAGGGAAAAGATTTAGGGTAACTTACATATAACCCCCATAGTGGTGCATAATGCCAGATAACCCCTTTAAGGTTTCAAAATAGTCATATAACTCTCCTATGGTTTTATGTAAAGTAAAAATAGATGAAATG